GTGTGGTTTGGAAAGTGTCCGGAGGAGGTTTAGCCGCGTGCGGCAGTTGGCTTTGATTTCGTTGAAATGTGCGTCGAACCTCAGCTCCCGGTCCAAGCGTACACCGAGAACCTGGATGGTCTTCTTGTTGGGTATTGGAATATTGTTCGCAACGATGGCTGTTGGTAGCGGGCGATGACGGAAGTGGCATAGGTGGGAAACCACGCTCTTTAACTGCGGATAATTCAAAGCCGATCCTACTGGCCCATCTTGTGGTGGCTGATACAGCAGCTTGTAATTTCCTTCGCAGAGCCTTGAGGGTGCGTCCTAAAGCCAGCAGGACGATGTCGTCTGCATATACAAATATGTATATTCCTTTTGGTAGGATCCCAAAGACTCCATTCATGGCGACCAAGAAGATGGTGACCGCTATGACGGATCCTTGTGGGACTCCAGTTTCTTCCGCCCGAGTTGAGGAGCGGTGGTTCCCGATCATCACCTGAAAGCTTCTGCCGCAGAGGAAATTTTTTAAAAAGTGTAGAATGTGGCCACCCAGACCCCAGTCAGCCAACTGTTTGATGACTTGGGGGGTCCAGGCGCGGTTATACGCCTTAGCTAAATCCAGGGCCGCTATGTCGACATGGAGTTCTTCATCCATCGCCTCTTGAAGTACATCGCCCAGGCCAGTAAAGTACGTTCCGGTACCGTGACCGGATCTGAACGCATGCTGTCGGTGATCGAGATGGTCATTGTCCTCGAGAAAGCGAATTAGACGGCGATTGACCATCCGTTCCATGACTTTACTAATGCAGCAAGTCAGAGAGATCGGACGGAAGTTTTCCGGAGTAGAGGCCAGTTGCCCCTGCTTTGGGATGGGGACTACCAGACTGTGGGACCATTCATTTATTAGGTCTAGCAGTTCGACTTTGGTGCTGGACGGGAGATGTTGCAGCATAGGTTATCCTATATCATCCGGACCGGCGGATTTTCCTTTGCTGCGGGATAGTGCAAGGGTTAGTTCATCGAATCGAAAGGGCGCGTTGATGGGCGTAGGTACAGAGTCCTCCGGAATGACAATGTTGCCAAGGCTCTGTGTGGATGCTTGGTTTTTTTTGTATGAAGTTCCTGTCATAGCGGTCAATGGCAGAGAGTGAGGCGAAATAGTCAGCCAATTCGTTGGCGATGGTGAGCGGGTCTCGTGTGAGGCCGCTTTGGAGGCGGAGGGCCATGCCCCTGGCCTTTCTTTTTCCGTTGAGGGCGTTGACCCGGCTCCACAACTCGGACGCCGTTTGGTTGGAGTTGATCCCCTCCAAAAATTCCTCCCAGCTACTTTTCTTGGCATCCCTGATGATTTGCCGGCACTCGTTTCGCTTGGAAACGGTGATTCAAAGAGTAAATGGTATTAACATTGAGCTGTCCATAGTTGGGCGTTGTTAAACTTGTGGTACTTGCACAACATTTCATGTGAGTACCAAAGTAACCATATTATCACAAAATAACTTTAAATGTAGGTTCAGAGTGAGACAATGTCACTGAGATATGGTTAGTTGGGTATTCAGATGAAACTATTACTTAAAAAAAAACTAATCCTTGCTGTTTCGTTTGCATGTAACACTATTTGATATTACTAATCACACTGAGCGAACCTGAAGAAGAAGAAGAAGATGACTATACAGAATGAGTGGTACCATGACCCCCTTCTCGGAACGAGTGTATTGTTAATGGACCTGGTCTACGATTCAAAGTTGGATTCTATGATTATAAGTAGCACATATAAGGTAAAATAGGTAGCATCATCTTTATCGAAATGTAAGTATTATTGACAATAACCATAACTAGATGATATGCAAATTTATACGATAGGTACCTGGATCAACGTTTTTTAAACATGCGCCTTCAATCGTGACGGCATCTAATTCTGCATTTTAAACCTACCCAACCCTCTTCCTTTCTACAATCCCTGAGCAGCTGGTTCACCATAAGTGTACCTCGCAGAACTTTTTTAACCCTCTTGGGTAAAGATGCTGTGTTGCTCACTCGGTGACATGGCCCCTGACCCTCTTGTACAACATAAAATGAAAATGAAATGAAATGAAAGTGTCTATAATGGTCCAACAAAGTATTGTTTTTAGTTAGATTTCTGGAGTAAAAACCGAAACACTTATGTGGTCTGCAGCTCGTGCAGTAAAGAGGACGAGTCCAGCTCGCAGTGTTTATTTTTTAATAGCCTACGCCAGTCCGGGCTTTTGAAGAGATTGTATAAACAATTATTATTCTTCGACCGCTACCACTGTAGCTTATAGTGTTAAGGGTGGTATACACCACAACTATGTTATAATATTTTTTTTTCGAAAATCGTTTGTAATTTCAGTTCTATATGTTTCAAAATGTCAAAAAACCATGGGGCTCCTGAGTAGGGAAGAGTTAAAGAAAAACTATTCCAGTAAATGGTTCATTCTGGGAAATGCGATACCACCGTCTCGGAAGTCGGAACACGTGCAATTGTTGTAGATAACTTATAGTTATTTCAATTTCTCTGACCTTGCACTTGACGCACAATGGAACAAAAATAAACCAAAATCTCCACAAACGCAAATAGACGGTATTTGACTGAAATCTAACGTTAGTGTCTGGTTGCCGTCGTTTCAAATTTATTTATTTTTTGCCTCGTCACGTCGCGTTCTCTGCTCTCTATAGGGATCACACTTGACTGGTGTTAAGGTGGTTCGCTGTGAGATCCTTATTCTCGCTACCACTTCGAAACTTTAAGTGCACAAATATCAGCTTCCACGACACGTACTATAATGAAACTGTTACTCCACGTTTGCTGCGCTGCAGCATACATGCAGTAGCAATTTCAGGTGAAATGGAACTCTAATTTCCGAGATGTGTGTAATTGAAAATTATAGGTGGAAATGCATTTATAGCCTACGTGGTGGCCATTTGTGGACTCTACAAGGAATCACCTTAAAAGAAAAAAACGTCCCGTCACAAGTTTAAAAAACCCCAATACATCCCTAAATGCTGCGTCGTTTATATATGATCGCCTATGTATCGATGCCATGCTTTGCTGCATAAACAACATTCGATGGTACAAATGTGCCGCGATTGCATGCATAACCAACTAGCGCGTTAAAGCTTCATTAAATTAATTTTTATTGATGATAATTGCTGGGGCCGCCCGATAGCGTAGTCGGTAAAGATGCGACGGTGCAGGGTCAAGGATTTTTTCAGGTTGGATGATTTCTCGATTTTCCTGGGTTATGTAATTGTGCTTGCCATCCAATTGTGAATCCAATTACAAATGCAAAAATAGTAGAGGGCTAGAAAACTCAGGTAAACTCAATTTACAACTGTGGACACGTATCTTGAGGGTAGGTTCCAGTTTGGACGTAATAGCCAAGATGAAGCAGATAATTGTTTCTATAATAAGTAATCTGCCGGTCATCGCAAGTCGGTCCCATTTACGTTTTTGTCAAAACTAAGTTTTTCTATGGAAATTGTAGTTAGCAACTCATATTTTTATAATACTGCATGAACATCAACAACTTTGTTCTGGAAAAGTTTGGAAAAACTGGTTATCCCATCACATAAGAAGCAATGGAACGAAGAAAACTAAAAATCCGTTTTTCTCGGCTAGCTGATTTGTGCTATGGGACGGACTTGCCATGAGCGGCAGTAATGTCTTATGGGAGTCTTATTTTCCGTCTACATAAAACTCTCACAGTTCTCTCTACATGAAAGTAAATTGAAATGATTTTTTAAATCGACAAGAACGAGTGGTATATTTCTAGCGTTCATAATCGTAAGGGCTTAACTGCTAGATTTAGGTATGTTAGGTGTACTGCCCTTCAATCGTTGAAATCAATTGCAAAGCTTAGAAATAGCGTAATTATAAACGATCGCACTTTGTGATAACAACTACACACATCATCTCGGCCCTTGGCACCAGCCGTATCATTTTTGAAGGCCAAATTTTCGCTTCACGACCATCCATCCATCCTATCTTATCAGTTTGTTGTTTAGTGAGTACGAATGCCGAAATAACAAGGAAGCTTTTGAGACTACACCAGTGAGTGTGTGGAATTTATTTATGTGTTGTGTGACGCGTGTTCCACTCCGACCGGTTATTCAATGCGTCCCGGTCGACGCTACAGGTTACTAGTACAGGCAAAACACTCGATCATCCGACACGTCGACGTCTGGGGCCGGCCTCCAATAATACATTCAAACATAATATTCGGGGAGTTTGGATTCTTCGGTTAGATTTTTTTTCTCAATGTAGGCACTCCATGGGGTTCAGTGAAATTGACTGAATTAGTGTTTTTCATTGTTGTAGTGACTGTATTTTTTTCCGTCGTCGTTATCTCTAAAACGCAATCATTTCAAACGGTGTTCTTATGTGGTGTTTTTTCTCAAATATAATTGATTCATTTGATGGTAGCCAGGTGTGAACGTTATGTAACGTTTGTATTTTATATCTTTCGTGACAAACCGACACAAGCTTCTTAATGGTCAATTCCTGTAATTAAATCAAGCTTCTTAACTGAATCCCCCATATGAAGAGGATCTGGAAAAAAATATTAAGTAATTTCCTTTAAGCAACTTTACAATTACTTATTTTTTAATGGATATGCATATTTCGTCCACCTGTTGTGAGTAGACGTAATTTGTGCCTAGCTGAACCAAGAACTCAAAAGCCACATGGTCTCATAATCACTACTAAAAAAAATGTCGGAGATCAAAGAATTTCCAACAGTTTTCATGAGAATATTCAAAACATTCTCCGCTGAACACGCCGCCCATCTAAACTCGTTATCTCTCCTACACATTTGATGGAGGCCGGTCCGTTCCGCATTTATGTCTGTATCTCTCTCTTTCTATCTCATAGGTCAATTCGGTTAGTAACCCGAAATCGGCGCGCAAACGTGTTCAACTTACCTCCTCCATTATTCTGCGGAATATATTAATACATGCTTAGGACCCACACAGAACGGCTTACTGCTGTGTCGCTTCCAGATCTCCACTTTAGTTGATTTACGAGACTGGTACCGATCGGTTCGCAGTAGATCTTCAACGTTCTGCCTGTGTACGTACGTTTTCGCTTTCCCATTTTGATTCTGTCTCAGACCCGGTGAAGATAAAAAAAATGATGCAAAATCTGCTGAAGACCACCCTGCGTACTGCCGCTGTGTGCCGCAAGAATCTGGTCCAACCGGCGGCCAAATTCTCGTCCACCTCGTTCGGAACAACCCAGGGACAAACTAGCCCGTTGACCTACCTGACCGAGGATGAGCAGATGATGAAGGAAACTGTTGCCAAGTTGGCACAGGAGCAGATCGCCCCACTTGTCAGGAAGATGGACGATGATCATCAATTCGACCCTAGTGTGGTTAAGGCCATGTTCGATAATGGCCTGATGGGTGTGGAAGTGGGCGATGAATATGGTGGTAGTGGATGCAACTTCATGACCATGATGCTGGTCGTCGAAGAATTGTCCAAGGTGGATGCATCCGTGGCTGCTTTCGTTGACATCCACAACACGCTGGTGAACTCGTTGATGATCAAGCTCGGAACTGAGGAACAGAAGAAGAAGTACCTGCCCAAATTGTGTTCGGAGTACAGTGGAAGTTTTGCCCTTTCGGAACCATCGGCTGGATCGGATGCCTTTTCGCTCAAAACTACGGCCAAGAAGGACGGAAACCACTACATTCTAAATGGAAGCAAAATGTGGATCTCCAACTCGGATATATCCGGAATGTTCCTGATCATGGCCAATGCTAACCCATCGGCTGGCTACCGTGGAATCACCACCTTCATCGTGGATCGTGACACGGAAGGCTTCACTGTTGGCAAGAAGGAGAATAAGCTCGGTATCTGTGCTTCGGGAACTTGCCAGCTTCATTTCGACAACGTGCGTGTCCCTGAGGAGAACATTCTTGGAGAGTTCGGCAAGGGCTACCAATATGCTGCAGGTTTCCTGAACGAAGGTCGCATCGGTATCGGTGCTCAGATGATCGGTTTGGCCCAGGGTTGTATGGATGCCACCATCCCGTATCTACTGGAGCGCAAGCAGTTTGGTTCGGACATCTATTCGTTCCAGAGCATGCAGCACCAGATTGCTACCATTGCCACCGAAATCGAAGCCGCCCGTTTGCTGGTCTACAATGCTGCCCGTCTGCAGGAAGCTAAGGTTCCCTTCCTGAAGCAGGCTGCCATGGCAAAACTGTATGCCTCGGAAGTTGCTCAGCGTACTACCATCAAGTGCATCGACTGGATGGGTGGCGTTGGATTCACCAAGGACTTCCCGCAGGAGAAATTCTACCGCGATTGTAAGATTGGTGCCATCTACGAGGGAACGAGCAATATGCAACTCAGCACCATTGCCAAGGTCATGAAGAAGGAATACCAAGGATAAGGCCCCGTAATAACGCCGCATGTTAACCGTCTTCCAGTTGATTATGTAACACACAGTACAATATAAATCGTGTGTTTCGTAACTCAGCCTCCTTCTCCTCAGTAAACACACACACACACATAGACACACAAACATACAACTCGTTTACTGATAGATAGGAGGAAACTGATAAAACATACATACATAAAAGAAAAGAAAAATCATATTTTTCCCATACGAGTTAAATGTATACGTATCGATAACTTGGAAACCAAGTTTAAAAACACCAAGTGCAAACCGGAAATGATGCATTTATTTTCTACTACGCAGGTTAAATCTTAGTTGTGTAATTAGAACTATCCTTTGAAATTGTGTCTAGTGATAACGACACAGGAAAAAAAAAAAGTCAAGCCAGGTATGATATGATATCGTAACACGTAGGTGTTAAACGATCTTGATAATGGTGAAATAAATTTATACATAATAAAGTGTAAGCGCTATTCATTTGAGCCTTTCTTGTTGCTGCTGTTTGGTTCTATACTAGAAATCCCTTCCCCTGTTTGCTGGTCCCTGAACTGGATTTGAGCGGTGATAAATGACGTTGTTTGGCCAGCTGGTTTAAGCGCGCTATGCGGAGCGTGTCGCTAACTAGCATTTCGAGATTGTCTGACGTGGGCAGAGTAAAAAGTAAATTTAGAACAAGCGAGCTTTTCGTTTTCCACACTTAAACGCTGTCCAGACTGGATAGTTATAACATGTTATAACGGTTGTCAAATAATTGCAACACAGAAACCACCATCAAGATAGCGTTATAACATGTTATAACTCTGTAGTCTGAACGTACTATTAAACGCTGGCCAGACTGAGCAGTTATAACATGTTATAACGGTTGTCAAATAATTGCAACACAGAAACCACCATCAAGATAGCGCTATAACATGTTATAACTCTGTAGTCTGAACAAGGCATTAGCTGTCGAATCAATGTATCTATACCTATATTAGGGTGGTTCAAAATATTGATTTTGATCCACCAAGCTCAATCGATTACAAATCAGGTTTTGATCATTCTCTCAAAATGTGTGCGAACTCAGTGTAGTATGATCCTTTAAAGTTTACATAAGAATTACAATGGGAAAAGTGAACTTTTTGTTCTCAACGTTCAGCCATTCGCTGCAGTGATCTACGGAAAAGTTTTTGCTATCAGCTACAACTTTGCGGAAGACTACTTTCACATTATTAATTATTAATTGATTTCGAATCTGATAACTTTGTTATATTATTAATCGAATGCATTCAGGGAAACACTTATGAAGTATACTGCCGCCCATGGCAAGTTCGTCCCATAGCACAACAAACAAACAACAAGCGTTACCCCTATGATTGAATTGTGTATAAACTATTGACTTAATCAAAAAAGTGTCTTCAGAGGAATTGTTCATTTAACTCGAGACTTAAATTATTATTCACAATTCTAGACGAAAATTTTAAAAGGGCGTAATTCCAAAATGACCATATCAAGAAAATCGCTTCAGAATTTTGATGACCTAAGATTTAATCCTATTTCACGACTTTCCATTTTCTGGATGATTTTATAAGCTTGACATATAGTTAACAGTGTAATATATCACTAAACACTAAAAAAAGTTATCTTTGTCATGAAATTGAGAATAAAACATGATACGCCCTGGGTTTTTTTTGTTTGTTGTTCCGCCTCGGTTTTTCGATCGCAAATTTTGTGAGAGTGGAACTACGCCCAGAGATTTTTTTGGTTTTGGTTTACACATGAAATACCAATCGGACGTATTTCAAATGAATCGTGCGTGAAGAGATACTACAGAATCAGTACGTTTGGCATATTGAAACAATAAAATTCGTAGTTCTAGTACAAGGCGTAACAACAAGATGCATCATAGAGTTGAAAATTGGAAATACGCCATGTAAAAGGAAACGTTTTTGATGATTTGAAATGATATTTTCTTCTACTTTTTCGTGTTTATCGAGTAGTTTGTGAACTGTTCTCTCTATATGTGGCAAAATATGGTTTGTTAACATGTTGGCACTTTCGCCCCTTTCAAATGTTAGTCTAGAATTCTTCAATTTCAAAAATTTATCATGGCCTTCTATGATGAAAAAAAATGAAAGACCCAACTTTTTGCTCTAAAGAAATAGAAGGATACTTTCTTCAGCAATGTTGTAGACTGGCCCGCATTTTTATTTGAGATTTTTTATCATTTTTTTCAACAGGCCAACCCCTAGATTTGTGCCATTAGGTGAGAAAACCACTCTCTGAAAATTTCAGCTCATTCGGATGTAACACGAGCTGGCGCTTTTGGCTTAAAGTTTGTATGGGGATTTTTTTCGAAATGTATGGAGAAATAACATTCCTTCACTCATTCGTTTATAAAACTGGTTCAGCAAAGTTGTTTAAGCCCAGAATTTCAGCACATGTAGCTTATTCTATAAGAAACAATTTTGCTGAAAACAGTATCATGATTCAAGTTAGTATTATGGAGATATTCATTCTTGAATTTATATGTCCATTTTGTTCTAATAAAGGGTGTCCACGATGAAATTGCCACACACAAAATTGATTCGCAAAATTCGAGTTTTCATCCGATTGCCATCAAATTTTCAGGGATTGAGAAATAACTATTAAACTTCATTTTACCATTTTACTCGTATTTTATTTACAGTCCATACGCAAATGCCCGCACCTTGGCCTTAACCCCGGCCATAAGATTCTGCACAACCTGTGAATCAACCGTTTTTTGCATGTAAACCCATACTTTCTTCAGTTCCTCGACTGTCTTCACTACCTTAGGTCGTTTAAGAAGGTGCTGCTTCATAATCGCCCAGTACTTCTCGATGGGGCGGAGCTCCGGAGTGTTGGGAGGGTTGAACATTTTCGGCACGAAATTGACCTTATTGTCCGCATACCACTTCAGCACGTCCTTGGAGTGTAGTGGCATGAGGCCAAATCCGGCCAGAAGATTGTTGGGACGTTGTGGGCCTTCAGGAGAGGAAGCAGCCGCTTCTGGAGGCACTCTTTTATGTACACCTGTCCGTTCATCGTGTCCTGGGTCACGAAAGGTGCACTCCGCTTCCCGCACGTGCAGATGGCTTGCCAAACCAGGAATTTCTTCGCAAATTTGGACATCTTCTGAGTGCGGACATGCTCCGGAACGCTGAACTTATCCTTGGCCGTGAAAAACAGGTTGCCGGGGATCTGTTTGAAGTCGGCCTTCACATATGTTTCGTCGTCCATGATACAGCATGTTGAGGTACAACTTCCTGGCACGGGTTTTGGCGGACTTGTTCTGCTTCTCGTCGCGATTAGGGGCCTTTTGTACCTTGAACGTTCGAAGCCCAGCCTTAGTTTTGGCCTTCTGGACAAAACTTCGGCTTAGGTGCAGCTTCTTAGCCACATCCCTAACGGAGGCGTTCGGATTTCGGTTGAAGGCCCCAACTACGCGGTTGTGATTTTTGGTGTTGTACGGAATACTTTTTCCTTCACTTCTGGGCTTCCGATCGGTGGTCAACCGTTCCTCGAACCGCTTAATCACTCGCGACACCGTGGAATTCGCGATTCCCAACGTTTTAGCGATGGAACGATGCGAGAGATCCTTGTTCTCGTGATGAATGCGCAAGATTTTATCACGCACGAGCTGTTCTTTTGACTCCATTTCCGCGAGTTTTGATCACAGGACTTTAAAACTTGCAGGATGTAAATAATGCACTATGAACTAAATCCACCCAAATTTTCATTAAATTCTACCCCACGGTTAAAAAGTTAGAGCAATTTCATAGTGTGGCAATTTCATCGTGGACACCCTTTATTGCAACTAAATTCAGGCGGCTTATGCAACTTATCAACTAGATTATCACTAAGAAAATAAAACTTCATATTTGCCACAGGCCAACGTCCAGACTCGTGTCAGTAGGGGTGATATCAGCGTTGCCGGAATGTTTTAAAGCTTATCGGTATTAAAGATTTTGAAAAATCGGTATTTATCGGTATTAAACCTATTTTAATTAATTTTATATTTTTGCCGTTTTTGAAAGCGAAAATTTTAACTTTTGGACTGATGATCGGAAAATTCCGGAAGAAAACTCCGGGGAATGTTTGGAGTATATTCTGGAGGTCAACATCCAGAGAAAGAAGATGTTGGCGAAAATTTAAAGAAACTTTCAGAAAAAAATCGGATTTCACATTCAAAGGAAGGCAGAGAAGTTTTGGAAATCGGAAGTAAATTCCAGAAGTAGCCATTTCCAGGAGAAGCCAGAAGAAGCTTGGAAAACCTTTCAATAGAAGTAAAAAAGACCCAACTGTACAAAATTCCAGAACTAGACGAAAGAAATTTTTGGGAGAAATTTAATTGAATTTCCTGGAGAAGATGGAAAAAATTCCTGGAGACACTGGCAGAACTTCCTAAGGTAGATTGGAAAAAAAAAATCTAAAAAAACGGATGCCAGAGCGCTTACGAAACAGTCGAAAGAAACAAGGACATAATTCCGGAAGAAAGAGCTCTTGGGGGATGTTCTAATGATCCAGAAATTTTTCCAAATGGTCATAAAACATCCCTCAAGACCCCGCAATGCCGCTGAAGTTTTTCATTCCTGAAATGTACTTAGGAATAATCCATATTTCCTCGGAATTCCTTACAAGTTCTTGTAATTTCATTAAGTTAAAAGGGCTGTTTTGGAGCACTCTGATCATTTCTGCAATACTTGGTACTTCCCTGATTATAATTAGACTAACGAAATATCTCTAATCAACTTTGAAGGTCTCTAGACTTTCTTGAAGATTACGAAATTTCTTAAGCGCACAATTTTCTTGAATTTAATGTAACATCAGCATTGAAGTTCTCTGATCTTCCCGATTTTTCACTGCCATTAATAAGCACGGAACTTTCCATAAAATGTTCTCACAATGTGCTAATGTTCGTGTAACTTCCCTTACGTTTCTTAAATTTGCATGAGCTCCTCGGAACATTGCTGAAGTTTTCAGAAAATGCCTGAGTTTCTCGGAACTCCTTTAAAATTTTAGCGATTTCCTTGAACTTTATTGATCTGTCCTGATGTTCTCAGAGCTTCTTAAAGTTCTCTCAATTCTCCTGAAGCTAATGGAACTGTCCTGAAAACCATTAAATTTTCCAGAAGTTCTTTGGACTTGTGAAGTATCCAAAATATTTATGATGTTTCCTTAAGCTCACTGGAGTTCGCTGGACTTTCCTAAAATTTCAGGGTTTTAGAATTTTAACAGAAGTTATTGAAACATTCTTTAATTTATCGAAAATTAATCAAAAGTCTGGACTTTCCTGAAGTTTCAGAACTTCTTAACAGTTCCTGCAGCTAGTGTGGATCCGCAATCAAAATCTGGAAGCATCCCTGAAATTCCGGGAATGTTAAAAAACTGGCGGGAGAAGATGGAAGAATCATTCGAGCGAAGGCTGAAGAAGCTTCCAAGGGAAGTCGAAATAAG